TTTCTTTCTTTCTTTCTTTCTTTCTTTCTATCTATCTATTTATCTATCGTCTGTCTGTCTAATTTATCTAGAGATCTATCTATCTCTGGGGGAGATGGGCAAATTTAATAAATAAATAATTTATGTGGCTGCCCATCTCACAGGAAGTGACTCTGGGCGGTGTACAACAATTAAATAAAACAGTAACTATATAAAAGCAATCATTATTAAAAATATAAAACAGTCACATTAAAATATACAAACCACCAGGGACAAGAGAGAATAAATTAATCACAGTAATGGTATTGGATGGAACTTGTAGGTATGCTGGAAGGTATGATGTAAGTATGATGGAACTTGTAGCCTAAAACATCAGAAATGTGTCAGATTAGTCACACCACTATGTAGAATTGATTTGTTGGGACCACAGCTGACTGAGCCTTTTGGAGTTTTAGTCGCAGCACATTTGGCGAACTTCAGATTGGGATGGCTGTTGTAGACCCACTCGCAGTAATCTACACACCCCAATTTAGTTTGGTGCAAACCCTAAAGTAATAGTTATTGTTACTTCACACTTCATTTTTCTTTCCCTGAATTTTGTTTTGTTTAGACATGAAGTGGAAAAATAAGTTCTGGGGCAAATCCCTTGAGATAATTCCAGTTGGTACAGTGAATGTCCAGCTTCCCAGGTGAGTCATGAAGCCTGTTTGTTTCATCCTTCTTGATCATCCTTCTGTCACACCCCCCCACACACACACAAACACACCCAGTTCTGGCACCTCTTTTATCCTTTCTTATTCTCCCTTCAAAAGGTTTGGGGATCACTATGAATGGAATAAGGTGACTTCTTGCATTCACAATATCCTCAGCGGCCAGCGCTGGATTGAGCATTATGGTGAGGTGTTGATTCGAAACACGAGAGACAGCACATATCACTGCAAGCTTACTTTCTGCAAAGTAAGTTCCAGTGTGGGCCTGGTTCTGCCTCACTCCTCCCCTGTCCTGTTGCTCTTTGGTCTCTGCTCAACCCCTTTTTCTGGTACTTCACCCTATTCTCTGAATTCATCAGTGTCAACTCGGAGGCTGTCTGATACCAAGCTACAGTAGATTGTTGTTCCATCTGGCTGAGTATTGTCTTCAGCCTCACGAGAAGTAGTTCCCTGGAGCTTCAGGTAGATCTAAGAAAGGATCCCCATCTGGAGATGCTGGGGATTAAACCTGGGCCCTTCCTGCATGCAAAGCAGGTGCACTGCCTCTGAGCTATGGCCCATTCGCTCTGATGTAGAATTTTAAAAAGCACTTCTGCCTTGGTACCTCTTCCTGTGCTTTGTTGCCCTACTTTGTGGTACCTGCATTATTTCCCTTTAATTTCTTCACCAATACTCCTGATCAATGTCATAATGCCTTCATTCCATGCTCATCTCATCTCCTGTCTTCTTTTTTGGAGTCATCAGGCCTTTTCCTTTTTGCATTTGATTCCCTCCTTTTTAGCCTCAGATTTGTCCTTTTCCTCCCATCTTCATTGTCTCTTCCTGTGGACCTCTTTTCCTTGGTTTCCCACCAAGTGAACAGGGAGCTGTTGGGAAGCCTACTTACCCTAACCCTCTTCTCTTTTCTGGCAGGCACGCTACTGGGGCTCCGGGGTCAATGAGGTGCAGGGTGCCATTCACAGCCATAACGGCAAGGTTATCCATCGACTCTTCGGGAAGTGGCATGAAGGGTTGTATTGTGGTGTAGCTCCTGTTGGCAAGTGCCTCTGGAAGCCCAGTAAGGAACCAATTCTACTTAGGATTGCGGGGCAGTGGGGAAGTATCAGCTGCTTGTAGGGGACTGATAAAGGTTTGAGCCATGAAAATATTGGCTCTGTTCTTAAATTCTACAGGTTTGTCTGTTTATTTATAGACCAGCTTTTCCTCCAATTTAGCAAGCTCCAGATGGGTTTCAGCTTCAGTTCCCAGAATCCCCAGACCTTATAGGTGACAGTTTGTGAGGTAGATGCAATTCCAGCCCACCTGTAAAATATATGATTCAGGGAGGCTGATCTTTAATGTACTAGTGGTCTTATAAAACAGATTATCGGAATGCCAAACAAATGGCAAAATTAAATTAAATATGAATTAAATATAATACAGTGAAATCCATTGTATAGATCTTTTTAAGTTATCTCAAAACCTAGTATATGCATTCATGCACTTGTGCGTGCACATCTTTGTAAACATTTGGAAGCGTGTGGAATTCATTTGTTGGGAAATATTAAGCAGGGAATGGATGGCTGTCTGTCAGAGATGTGATTTCGATTTCCCTAACCTAGTGCTTTGCATATGCTTTGGATGAGAACCTCCAGTGTCCCTAGACAGTATTCTGTGCACTAGCTTGAGGGACCCTGTTTTAACTGCATCATTAGAGAAAGAAATGCAAAATGGTTTGTAAAATTACCATTATGTATATGTATATACTTTAAAATGGTATATACAGTCCACCTTTCTAGATATCTTAAGGTCTCAGACAGATAAGTACAGATGTTATGTCATGCCCTCATTTTACAAGTTTTTACATTATTTTCATCCCCCTCTTTTTTTACACAGTATATATCCTGTGTGGTGTTTTTACTGCCCCCCAGTGGCTGATATAAGAAAAAAAGGTAGCGTCATCTTCATAGAGTTGCCCCTGAAGTGTCAGTGTCATCAGCTGGGGAGAATGGAAAAAGTTGGATAAGCAAGTCTCCACCAGATCATTTAAATACAAATTAAACAGATTTGGAGCAAGAAAGAAGCCCTGTAAATCCTTATGTGATGAGCATGGGATTAGTCAAATTATATTCCTTTTGACATCACACTCTAAAGTAGAGTCTAGATGAAGAGAGATTAAGTCTCTCTTAATCTGTCTACCAGTAGAAGCAGTGCTAAATTTAGGCCCAAAATTTTCCTTTGGGATAGAATCAAAGGCAGTCTTTAAATCATAAGGACTATAAGTAAGCCTTTGCTAGGAGATGTCTTAAACTGCTGGTAGTTTAAGACAAGAAAATAGTCAAGTGTTGACTTGCCCTCCTGAACCAGCTTGTTCTGGGCACAGCATATCTTCAACTTCCAATTTTTCCAGGAAACCGGTTTTCCATTAAAATAGCATATAATGTGCTAGCAACTGAGAATAGATTTCACGGGTGGGTAATTGGAAGTAATTAATTCAAAGTAATTGAAATTACTTTTTTAACAAATTGGTATGATAATTGCTAGGGGCCAACATGTAGGCATCAGCCTGATTTGTGAATTTGACAGAATAAAACTGCTAAGGTGGGCAATCAAGTAGTACTAGTTTTCAGGAGTTCTGGCATTATGGAATTAGGACCTGAGGAGTTCCCAGATTTCAGCTTAGAGATCATTATTTTTGAATAGTGTAATGGGAGCCCATTCCTCTAAGCACAGAGAGGATGTGTGGTTGTTGTTGTTTACTGTTTTTATTCTGTTTTAATTGTGAGCTGCCCAGAGTCATGTAAATGAGATGAGCAGCCAATAAATTTACTAAATAATTAAGGGTGTGTGTGTGTGTATCCTTTGTAGCGTTTTCCTCACAGGTATAGGGTCTGTTTTTTTAGAATGTACTGAATGTTGATCCATTGGTTGTAACAGGAATTGACCGACTAGCTTGTCCCCAGAGCCTGACGTCGTGGGCTGAGAGAGTCACCCAGCCGGCTTTCATGCCTAAGGTGGGACTAGAACTCACAGTCTCCTACTTTCTAGTCTGGTGCCTGAACCACTAGACCAAACTGGCTCTCATATACTGTATAGACACACACATGCACCCCCCCCCTCCAGAATGATCCTCATCTCCAGTGCTTTCATGAAAATGACAAAAGCATATTGTGAGGCAAGCTCTACCTCCTCTGTACACGTGTGCAACATCACAGTGCACAAGCAAAAAGGGCAGAGCTTGTGGTGCAACACTGTTTTAGTCATTTCCCCACTCCCCCACAGACAGCTTTGTATTCTCCAAACTTTTCAAAATGTGGAGCCCCAGTTAGTCATGGTTGACGCAAAATGACCCACTAGAGTATAAATAAACACAACATTTATTTTAGGATCTTCTGACTTTCTAGGATATTGGAGAAAGTAAGCCCTCTGTTTCTTTAAATGCCATAGTTGGAGCGGAAAAAGGGATGTTGTTGTTAGAACCAACCCTTGTATTGAAATCTCCCACAATAAGTAGATGGGAACAGAGAGCCAGGGGCTCCAAATGTAGAGTACCTAAGAATATTCCAATCTCTCGCTAACTGGTCTCTGGTAGCAAGACAGGAGGAATGTACACATTTATTATTAATAAATGAAATAAACAAATATAAGTGGGTATCTTGGCCCTTTTCATGATCGTTTGTATATGGAATACTGTATTTTGTAAGATGTGTAACTATTTACTAAACATTTAATCAACAGTGGCCTCAAGTTGGGGCAAACAACAAACAAAAAATAAACTTGTAAAGCAAGTCAGATGGAAAGATTAGATTCACAAGTGCCCATTGCGCATGTGTGTGAAGAGAATGATGTAAAGAAGCAAATCATGTCAGCTAGCAAAGCTAGCAAAGCAAAATACAATTTTTTATTAATGTCTGTCTAGATGGTGCAAGTAAGAGAGCTATAACTGGAGCAAGAAAACATGAAATTCACAGGAAGCATCATTTGACAAAGCATTGTCAAACGTACCAGTGTTGAGCAATGTCATGTATTAATGTTGGTGGAGTAAAACTAAGAAACACAGCTAATATAATAGCAAACCACATGAAATTAATCTTCAAAGCTAGTGATGGGTGGCTTTGACAATTTGTAAAAAGCGTAGAATCATTAACAAGTAAAGCTTTGGGTGATCCTACAGAAGAGAGAGAACTATTCTGGAAAAAAATTTAAAAAGCTCATCAGTGTTGATAACATCATACTGTCATAAATGTGTATTGCCAACAAGATTGGCTTGCTCTGGTGATCCTGCCTGAGAACATTTAGGCCTTCGCACGTGAAACATTGATTCCAGAAGGAAAGGACAGTAAAGAGAGGATTCCCAACATTAGTTCGTGCAAATGCCAATTGATTGCATATATTATCCAAGTGTGTTGAAAGACATGCATTCCTTGTCAAAGTAACTTAATTCAAGGGAGGCATTGATTATATCAGCGCTTTTTCATGCTGAACATGACTGATTCTTCAGTCATTTTGTGCCAGAGGCAGACGATTTCAAATTCAGGGCTGGAAATATTACCCAAAAACAAGATGGCAATGTGAGGGCTAGAGGTAGCAAGATGGGGAAAAACGTGCCTGGGATGAGACAGGACTGATTTGTAAACACAAGCCAAGTGCAATTACCTAGCCAGCATAAGAAATGGGCTACAGTACAAGCAACCAAAGGATGAGAGAAAAAAAGCCCAGGATTTTAAACCTTGGGGTATAGCTACAGTATGTACAGAACTAGATTTTTAGCCTTTGTAGAAGCTGGTTTTTGTTGTAATTAAAGTTGCTTATAGCTGCAGTAGAGTATCTTATTCAAACCGAGTTCTTGGCTTTCTATAAAAATGGTGTGTTCCTAGAGAAAGAATTATTGGTGGGGCAGCCACCAATAGGCTTTCTTTTTTCTAGACCATGTTCCTGCTCATCTATCCTTAGATGTTCTATGCACAAAATATTGAAAATTATGTACATGTTTCTGCCAGAAACATGCAACTTGACACATCCAACTCAGAAGGGATCATTCTGGCAAATAAGACTTCATAGGAAAATTTTTTGGATGTTCGTGTTGGAATCTGATGAAGAAGTAGATGCAAGAGGTCAATATACTGTACAAAACCTTAGAAATGAAAAGTCTGCAATCTTCAGTTTTGCTGCAGCTTGGAAACTAGTCAAAATTCCAACATTGGCAAATGGCTGAAAGAAACTGCTTTACAGCATGGATACAGCACTAAAGAAAGCTGGTGAAGTTGAAGCAAAACTTTATCTTGAGGTTAGAGGAAGGTGAAGGTGGTCCTAGATACCAGATAATGACAAAGAGTGAGATGGTTGAACATCCTATGGTAGGCAAGAAGCAGGACAGTGAAAGAAAGAGGAGGAACTGCCAAATCCCCAAATCGAGTTTTAGTGTTCAGATCCTATCTTGATTGTATGATAGCTTTTATTGACTCCTCATCCCATCCTGAAGTCCAGCCTTATCACTCCCACTTACATACTTTTAGGGAGCTAATTCAGAAGCAGCATACTTCCAGGACTCAGTTAAAATTGGACACTTTCTTCAATTGGTCAACCAAACTCATCACTTGAACCCAGTACCCTTTTACCATGGGGGCAGAGGAAGAAAGACACTCCTCCACCACCAGCTTAGAATAATGTTGAATAATATGTTGAGGATCACCACCATCATTTACGGCAGTTTAGTGATTCTTCTGGTTTTCCCATCCTTACTTACATTAGTAATTCTTATTGATATGATTACAGTAAAAATTTACTGTAGTACATAAATCAGTAAAAATTACAGTAAAATCAGTAACAATACAGTAAAAAAGAGCCAGTTTGGTCTAGTGGTTGAGGCACTAGGCTAGAAAGCAGTTCTAGTCCCATCTTAAGCATGAAAGCCAAGGCTGGGTGATTTTGGGCCAGTCACTCTCTCAGCCCAACTCACCTCATAGGGTTGTTGTTGTGGAAAAAATAGGAGCAAGGAGTATTAGGTAGGTTCGCCACCTTGAGTTATTTATAAAAATAAGAAAGGTGGGATAAAAAGAAAAAATCTAAAAATATATATTTTATACAGTAATCTCATGTATGTATGTGTTTTGGATCTTGAAATAGCTTTAACAAACATCATTTTCCTCATAATTCTTTTGAATCAAGGGGTTACTATGCCTTGTGGGTCTTCCACAGTGTTTGTACATGGTTGGTCACTGCGTTATTTGGCTTCGAAATAATTTCCATTCCCTTCCGTGGGTATTTGTATTTCATTCTCCTTTTCATGCAATTTCAGGAACCCCCTACCCTGATTTTGGAGTGAAATGAAGATTTTAATTTATTGACTGTATTATTAATAATCAATAGCTGTTCAAATATTGAAATAAATAAAGGTGTGGTAAGAAGGGACTCTTTAGACGTTAGATCAAAATCAGGCTGAGAAGCAAAAACACAAATGAATGGGAATGTAATGATTTAGGAAGCAAGAAATAACCTCAAAGTCTTCAAATTGGGGCGAGTATAAAATGAAATGAAATAAAATAAATTCTCTTGAAGCAATGCCACGCCCAATTTTGATCAGGAAATAACATTTATTCCTATGCAGATTACCTTTCCTTTGTTTGATCAGCTTTTAGAACATCAGATCCAATCTCACTTTCATTTCAGACTTACTTACATGATGAATAACCAACAAACTTACAATTCTTGGGGTGTCTCTAAGGGATATGAATAGGCCTAACACTATCCTTCCCCATCCAGTGATAGATTGTCAACACATATTTCTCTTTCTTTCTTCTAGACCTTATGCCCCGAGACCAAGAGAAGAACTATGGTTTCACTCAGTTCGCCCTGGAGCTAAATGAACTAACGCCAGAGCTGAAGCGTCTCCTGCCATCTACGGACACAAGGCTGAGGCCTGACCAGCGGTGAGGACCAGGAAGAGATTGATACAAATTTTCCTTTATTTTTCCTTTTTTGTAAAAGATGCCTTGATGTTATCCTACCTTTCTGCTGATAAGGTACTCAAGGCAATTTACCCTCTGGCGGTTACAGAATTACCAATATCAGTTATAAAATGGATATACCAACAGTGTAAGAATGAGCATTAAAATTACATTTGAGCAACTGTAAATGCGTGTGCTAATCCCAACCTCCTGCATATTGTGTGAGTTACGAGCAGTCTCTGAATTTGGTGGCCTTCCTCCAGGTACCTGGAAGAGGGAAATGTGCAGGCTGCGGAGTCTCAAAAACGACGGATTGAGCAGTTGCAGCGAGACCGGCGTCGGGTGATGGAAGATAACAATATCCTGCACCAAGCACGCTTTTTCAGGTGCTTCCTCCTTTGCTTTATTTTGTTCTTTTTTGGCCACTTGTGTAGCTCCTACTTTCTGTCATTCTTCCTCCAAGATCCCAGTCTGGTGTTGTAGCTTTAGTGCTACTTTATAAATTCAATTCCTCAATAAATCATGGAGTTCATTGGTAACCTAGGTCATTCTTTTCATTTAATTTACAAGGTTATTATAAAGATAAAAAAGGTATAGAAAATGCATATATATCACTCTGAGCTCCGTAAATGGAAGACATCAATAACAGGCAGATCCAGACAATGCAATTCCATCAGCTCAGCGGCCACTTTATGGATCACGTCAAAAGAGTTGCATTCCAAAGAGGGTTGGCCAGACTGCTTTTCTGGAGAGGTTTGACATGGGGTGGGTGGGGAGGTAGGGTGGTGTTTTTAAATATCTGCAAGCTTCAGACATTTGTTTTATCCCTTAAACTCCCCCCCCCCACCGCAAAGGGATGGTGGTGAGCCACACTTTTTGCATCTCTGAAAGGATATTTCTGACACAGTGCTTTAAAAAGTTTTGTCTGCATACTTCCTCTGCAAAAACAAGGGGGTTGTGACACCTAAAAAACTAATACAGTTACAATTACGTGAAATTTCGGGCATGTAAACCACTTCATCAGATGCATGTGAAAACAGTATTATATTTATAGGGGAGGGAAGTGGGGGTGGAGTTATTGTCTAGAGATAAAGTCAACAAACATAATAATATTTTGGCATTAAATAGAATCAAATTCTGTCTAAAGAAACAAAGCAAAGACAGGCTGAAATCAGGGCCTAGTGTATCAATACTTTGGTATGATCTGAAGCCTGAAGACCCCAATTACTAAGTATGTATAGCAAACCTGGGCTGCCTCTGTTCCAAGAAATCCATAAGACTGAGTATATGCTTACTATGTACTTGCAGTCTAGTACTGGACACACAGAGTTCAACATCCAGAAAACTTCAGTTTTCACTGTGAAAAAGAAACAAACCCCTCTTTAAAATTGCAAAGATTGATTTTAAAACACGTGATCAGTACTTAAAAACCCTAAGTCGTGGTTTAGCAGAATTTCCTGTTGTAATCTTGTTTTGATTTTTTTTTAAAGCATCAGCTACATATACTGTGGGTTACAGTCTGTTAACATTCTAGTTTCCTAGTTCTGGGACTATATAAAAAGATTAAAAATAGGAGTGAAGAGCATGCGGCTATTAGAAGCGGCTGAATTTGTAAGCCTCGGCATTTCTCACTCTGGGCTTTGTTGGCTGGGGGTGTGCAAGTTATATTTCTGCAGCAGATTCCCCATTCCTGTTTTGAAGATTCTCCTTTTGCCAAGCCTGATTACTGATGAGTTCCCTTCCTTTTTCCTGGCAGGCGACAAGTGGATGCCAGTGGCAAGGAATCTTGGGTGAGCAACAACACCTACTGGAGGCTGAGGACAGAGCCAGGCTTCAGCAATATGGACAGTGCAGTCTTGTGGTAGCTGCTAGCATCTGCAAGAGCAGCGGTGCCTTCCCGCCATCTCCCAAAGTGGGGGAGCAGACAGCAAGGGTCTCTTGCTAGATAAGCACAAAGTGATCAAGGCGTGTAACCCTGAAATACCAGCAGCTTACGAAGGAAGGGGACACTATCTCTTACGTGTTGTGCCGTCCGCTTCCAAAGCAGCACTCTTAAGAAAGAAAACCCATGTCCATCTGCCATGCTTGCACTGCTGCCTGCTGGTTAGGCAGACATTGGTGGACCCCTGGATTGTCACAAATGAAGATGGCAACAGGAAGCACTTTAATCTCGCTTGGACCTTGATAAGGCTAATCAAATGGATTGCTCCAAAGCACTTATAAATAGGAGGTTCTACCTTCAAAGCCTGCCTTTTGTTCAAGTAACAGCAACACCCAACAGCAATGTATGCTGGGGGCTACTATCTGGTGGTAGGAGGCACTGGAGTGATTGTTTGCACAAAGGAGTTAGGGGACTGAAGGTTTGGGTCTTCTGACTACCTAGCAGTGCCCTTCTGCGGTAGCTGCTTTCACACACGCTTCTATTATTTTTAAATTTGTATATCCCATTCATTTGGAAGGAGTTGGATGCTGTCTCAAGCACTGTTGTTTTGATGAAGTATGGCCTAGTTGGATTAGAAGTTCTGTCTCTGGAAGCAGATTGGATTTGCAGCAGCCCTCTGAAGAAAGCTCTTCTTAAGGCCTTGGTGGACTTTGACATCAGCTGGAGTGATGTTCCCTCCACCCCAAAGATGCCAGATATTTGTTGTCTAAATGGTACCTCTGTCTGGGCAAAACCAGGATCTCTTTCAGGCAGAATGCCTTGAGAAAGCACCTCTTGGACTTTGCCTGCATCCCTTCCTTATCCCAATGTTTTGTGTGGTCTGTCTTCCTTTCTTCCTCCTTTGTGAGAAATATGTTTCCACTCTGCTCTGCTACATTTCCTTCCGCATTTGAAGCAATAATTAAAACAGAGGTGTGTGGAGGAGACACTTTAGTGCTCCTAAGTGAAGGATTGTGGATTCCTCTAATACTGTTTGTAGCTCAGGGCAGGGTCTGAGAGATGTGATTGTACTGAATGAAGAAAGGTGGAAAGACTGTGTAGATGACAGACCGTGGGGCGGCATCAAAATTAAAGGCAAGTGTAGGCTGGTAGGTAGAGTGGTTGGAGAGGAAGCATGTGTGTTTTGGTTTTGGGTTTCTCCTGTGGAAGCAAAATAGAGCAAAACATGGCAAGGGTATAGGATGGTGTGAGTTCTGGGCACCTGGGTCTTCTTCTAATGGACAGGGCAAAGGAGGAAGGAAGAAAACTGTCTGAACCTACCTAGCTTTCAAGTCGTCATACAACAACAGTCCAGCAATCATACTTATGAGACTGCTGGGTACTTGACAGTCCTACAGTTCATGGAGCCCTGGATGAGCTACTGTTCAGGTTAGGATTTAGCTTGGTTTGCTCAGGCTTTGTCTGAGGTTACATTCACAGTTATTTTCCTGGTTTATGTATGCTTTGTTTTACTCCCCATCCCCTATCCCAAAGAACTCCAAACTTGGGGAAAGGTGTTGATTGGAAATTATCACACATATTTATGATGCTACAATGTTTGGGTACAGTGCTAGACCCGTGCTAGGCTGCAGTCTCAGTGTACCTCCAATGCTTTACTGTTTCTCTACGGCATTTGTGGAGAATTTCAGGGCAGGGCAGGGCAGGGCAGGGCAGGGCAGGGCAGGGCAGGGCAGTCTAATGTTTACATAGCTTTATGTTTGTTTTTCAGTGTTAGACTGAGTCTTTCATCACAGATTATTAGGGAGGAAGGCCTTGTTGCTGGCACTGCTGGGTTGTAGAATATCAAACACTGTGCTGATCAGTGCCCCCCCCAATACAACTTTGGGCACACTAGCATCTCTCTTGGCTTATTAACCCAGTATAGCACTTATGTGTATCTGGACGGCATCACTCACTGAATTCCTGGAAAGTACTTTGGCTTCCAAATTTGCTGTGAACTATTGTGGATTGGTTTGTTGTTCACTGTTTGGGTAAAGTAGTGTTGAGTCTTCAGTCTGACACTGAGCTTGTAAGAAAAGACCTGGAAGAGTTTTATTTCCATGTGATTCCCATATTACACTGGGGGCCAAGAAGCTCTTTTAGCTTGTGGGTTCAGTTTGGATCCCTTTATTTGTGCTATTTGATACAATGGATGTGATGACTGCTGCATGCAGGGAAGAATGTTGTTTTCCCTGTGACCTGCACCTAAAAATTCAATCATACACAGTCCAGTAGATGTCCTCTGTGTGAGTCTGTCCCTCTCTGTCTGCTTGAGTGTCTTTAATGTTTTGTCTTTCCCAAGTGCAGGTCAACCTGCTTTCGTTTGCCTCTTCCGGCTGGCCCGGTCTTGAGTTGCTGCTCCATCTTTTATGTTCATGTTAATTGGCCTCTGTCCTTGTACTGTAGCTTGAACAATCCATGGTGCGTCTAATTAAAAAGAGTTGGAAAGTTCCAGTGTGTGGGAGCCATTTTTAAAAACCTGACATATGGATGCTTAGCTTCTAGTCTTTCAGATATTTGTCTCTCAAGAATATCAATTTAATAATAACAATAAGTACTTTGTATTCCTTCAGTCTATGTAAATCATTTGAAAGAGGTGGTTCAGAACACACTGGAAACAGAATGCACCCTCTTTTAGGATTGTTAAAGTGGCTGTGTCTTTTACAAGACTTGCATGGCTGCTTTGAAAACTGTCTGGTTTTCTGCGTGTGCACTAGGGCAGTCAGCGAAGTGATGGCCAGCACACGCATGTGGAGACAGTTAAGAGCAGTTTCTGCTGCAGCCATGTCAGCCTTGTAAAAAGCACGGCTGTACCTCTTTTGAATGTTTTGCACTGCTCTGGTATTCACAGACAGCAGGGGCAGTGAAACTGAGATTCTCCAGAAATTGTTGGATTTCTATTACCCACCTCCAATCACTGTGCTTAATTGCAAGGATGAATAGTGTTAGAATCCAACAACAGTTAGAAGGCTATTAGAAATGATCAAAGTGCTTAACATACATTATTTTAGTACTCCTTACAGACTAAAGGTGCTAGCAATTTTTCTGAGTAGAGCTGCCATCTCTAGGCTTGATGTTGATGCAGCTCTTGGAAGTTATTTGCCTGTTTTGGAGGCAAGTCCCCTGATACAGGTTTTACTGGAAGAGACCAATCCCACAGAGCATTAGAACTGGATATTTAGATGTATTTTGACAGACTGGGAAATAATTGTATTTTGCTTCCTTGCCATAATCTAGGGAAATAATCTAATACAGTGGTACCTTGGGTCACAAACGTGTCTGTTCACGACCAGTTCGGGTCACGAACAGCACCGTTCGCAAAATTTTGCTTCTGTTCGCGAATGCCGGATCGGGTGATGAACAGGATCCGCGGCCATT